TCCTGGAACTCACTATATAGACCAGGCTGGCCTTGAACTCACAGAGATCCACCTTCCTCTGCCTCCCCAGTGCTGGGACTACAGGTGTGTGCCACCATATCCGGCTAACTAGAATAATACATTTTTTAAAAATTGTGATGAAATTCAAGGTTTCAAGAAAAGTCTAGTCTACAGTTAGTCACAGCTTCCGTTTTACCCTGGTGGTAACTTGATGTGCAGTGGTTGGAATCTGTATCGATGGTCCCTGCAGCCAAGCAAGAGGGAGCTGGTGAGGAGGGATCTAGAGCGCAGAAAGCCTGGGGATGCACTCGGCCTGGGGCTGATAAAGCTGGTGAGCCATTAGCACGAAGTGCAGCAGTCCTGTGGAGTTGGAGGCCCCTTTAGAAAAGGGTGTTTTGTAGCATGGTTGGACGAGGTGGTTCCCAAGTTAAGGTCCCTTCATCAGCTCCCCTTGCTTTCTTAATCTTCTGTGCCTTGCCTATGCAGAATGTAAGGTCAGCTCCCCAGGGGCGCTTCAAGGATTATTTTGCTGTGGAATTTTGATAGATTTGTGAACACACCACATGGAATTTTCTTCCCTGTGCATGTGTTGTGGGTTAAACCATGTGAAATCGCCACCCGTGTGACCTGTGTGAGATGGGTTAGGACGAACACTGATTCCAGGAATATTTTTGTGTTCCCTTAGTCCCTTTAGGACGGACACAGACGTGGGGTGACTGCCGCAGCAGGACCCGCCATCACTGTTATTTTGCCCACCTGTGGGTCCCTGTTACCTGTGGTCTTGCCTCAGCAGCACCCAGGAAATGGGGCGCCTGGTGCCCTGTTAATCACAGCCCTGGGGAGACACATCCTTTCCAAGTCCAGGACATCACAGCCCGTAGGCAGCTGGCGACTGTGTACAGTGGGGAGACACATCCTTTCCAAGTCCAGGACATCACAGCCCGTAGGCAGCTGGCGACTGTGTACAGTGGGGAGACACATCCTTTCCAAGTCCAGGACATCACAGCCCGTACACATCCTTTCCAGTTCCTAGCGTTGCCTCACCTGGAAACCCACCAAATCTGCAGGAGAGTAGGTACTTCAAGGCAAGCAAACGGTGTCAGAGACTAGCAGGTTATCCAGGGTCGCTGCCGGCCCGTGATTTCCCTGCTTCTCTGTCCCTCAGGCGGACTCACCTCTGTCCTCTCTTGGTGTGTTTCTCTGGGCATCTGGGTGTCCAGGTGGGAGGTTGGGGGCTCTTAGCCACATGACCGCAGCTGCCCTGAGGCCCTTACCCCTTTCTCAGGTTCCTGAGGAATTCCTGTTGTTGGAATTTCACATTTGCAACAGTTTAACAGATTTTGAAAAACTGAAGGTGTAGAACCCAAGTGTGAGTCAGACAGTCCCAAGAGCTTGCTGAAGTGCAGATTCCAGGGCTCTGATTGCTCAACTCCTACCTGTGCCTGGCCCTGATGAGCCTGGAGGCATGCTGACAGTGGGGAGCACAGGAGGGAGGCGGGGAGGGAGAGGGGGTACCGAGAGCCTGACACCACTGGGGCAGGGGTGCTTCTCAGTAGTGACCTGCCATGTGTGGCTGCACCATCTGGGTAATGGGGAGAGTGGGAACCTGGCTCACACAGCGGTTGTCGGGGATACTGGTGCTGGCACCAAGTATATTCTTGGGGAATCTGGGGATCACAGGCCCAGAACACAGGGACACCATGCTGTTTATCGAGATGTCCCTTGATGAGCGAGCTTGTCATTTCTCATATAGGAAGCCCTGGGTTGGATGCCCTGCAGTATAAAAAGGAAGAAGAATGTAATCAAAGTTTAGGGCTAGTTCAAGCCTAAGAAATGACTGAGTAGCTCCCTCTCCTCAGTCACAGTGGAGATTGCCTGTGGCATCAAGCAGGGAGCCAAGCAGCAGCACGGGTGCTCACTGATGGCCCAGGGAGCATTCCTGTTAGCAGTGGGCAGCCCCCAGCCCACCAGTGGTGATCTCTCTGCCCGACTGTGGAATCCAGGCCAGTCACATTTAAAGGAGTGACTGGGGAGGCTTTTATTCACGCTTTTATTCCCAGAAATGGGGTGTTGAGGAACACATGGAGCAGTTTCCTTTGTGACATTATTTGGGATTGTGTCGAGACAGGGTCTCTGTAGCTCAGGCTGACCTTGAATTCACTACTTAGAGTAGGATGACCTTGAACTTGATGATTCTTCTGCTTCTGCCATTCAAGTGCTGGGATTGCAAGGTGCATCACCACACCCAGTTTTATGCTGTGCAGGGGATGGACTCTAGGGCCCAGTGCATGCTAAATAAGCCCATGGACATCTGTAACTTTGGGGTCTGCCCAGCTAGGAAGACATGCCATGCAAAGTGTATGTAGGCACATATGTGTACACACCCCCCTACACACCTGACACTGTTCTCTAAAGCAGGTTCATCCTTACAGCCTTGCTGCTCTGGACACCCAGAATGAGACAGGCCTGAGTCTGTGCTAGGCCCCTCTCTGCTGGGTTGAGGAGATTTCCAGGTAAGGGCTGCATAGCTTGCATCCCCTTTGCTCCCTGAGGCACGGGGCTCAGCCAAAAAGCCCCACAGAGGAAGCTGACAAAGGGTTGTGGTGCAGAAGCTTTTCATTGGTGTTAGGTGAGGCAGCGTTCCATTCAGACTGAGCACTGGCTGAGGTGGTGAGGTTTTTAATTAAATCAGAATTTTTTTGGGGGGGAGGATGGTATATATACATGTCTTTTTAGGGTTTTTTCCCCCTGGGATTTAAGTCAACTATATATTTCCTTAGTTTGTCACACACACCTTTTGAGAGTAAATTTGTGAGTAAAAATCCACAGCTTATGTAACTATGCGTCCTTGTTTGATGGAGCCCTGCTTAATTCAGAGTATTTAATATTTGTTGTGATAAGTTTAACCTTCTGATGGTATATGTTTAAAAGCCTGCTGTGTACTAATAAACTGAGCTCCTTTTAATTTACATTTTATCCTTTTAACTAAGGTTTGTTTTTAAAAAACTATGAGTGTGATTACATGCCAGATGGTATAAAATGTAAAGTGTGCAGCACGTAAAACAAGGAAAGGTCACCCACCCGCCAGCCTTCCTAACCCTAAATCAACAACTGTTATGGCTTAAACCTTACTGGAAATATTTTCAGCCTTGGAAAACACAGGTGTATTTTGCACAGCTGCAGACACATGCGTGCGTGCACACACAAACACGTATGTGCACACACCTAGCGTGTTATGTTATTCAGTACTTACTAGGTTCATCTGAGTCTCCTTGAAGAGCTTGGGGGATACCGACCGATCCCGCACTGACTGCTTGTGAATACACTGCCAGGTTTTCTTAAGCAGTGTTGGTCTCTTAAAAGCATGGCCACATGGTGGCTCTGGGCACTGGGCACCTGACTCAGACCTGGGGGCGGGGGGTGCTTATCTTTTTCTTAGTTCTTCTGTAACAGCTCTGCACGTTCGTTCACTTTGCCAAGAGAGCAGTTGGTGACAGAGCAGCAGGCTTTGCAGCCCAGGTCCTGTGTTCAGAGCTGTGGTGGTTCTCTGATGGGCTACCAGGCCCTGGCTGGCACGGTCCCTGTCAGTCCACAGCCCTCATTCTTATGCTGTGTGAACCTAAGAGTAGGCGCAGGGCCCAGCTTGCTCTGCCTCTGTCCCTGTGTTCAGCCTCTGTCATATCTGCTTTGGTGGAGGGAGGGGGGACCAGGCATCCTTGAGGCACTGCAGGGACAAGTCCACCTCACCAGCTTCATCCTCTGGGCCCTCTAGCTTTGCTTCATCGCAGTCCAGCCTCTGCTGGGCCCGCACCTCATTTCCTGAAAGTCTGGCACCCTTTGTTACTCACAGCCCTGCCAGCTTCTGGCTGCCTCCTGAGGAGTCCTGAGACTGCCTTGCGTTTCCTCCAGCTTCTTCGGGCCACCCTGCTCCTCTGGAAGTCGCTAAGCTCCTTTCCCTGCGCAGGGTTCTCCTTCCAATGGATGACTCATCCCCTAGCTTCACGTTGTAGTCACTTCTGGCTGGTCACTTCCGGCTGGCCTGGTTGCTGCCTTGTTAGTGTCAAGTAGACTGTCTCCCAGGTCTTTTTGACTCTGTCTACCCCCTCGCCCAGCATTGTGCTTTGGAACTGCACGGCCAGGCCTTTGCTTGGAGCCCTCCTCCTCCATCTTCCGGGTCTTAGTGCTGTAACCCTCTTGAAAAGGATGGATGTTTTTGACTTGTTTGCTTTTTGGGCAGCTTAGAGTGAATGGGAGTCAATATTCGAGAAAGAAACATGGAGAGTAAATCCTGGGGGAAGGAGACGAGTGACTCGTGGTTCAGGTGTGGTAGACACCAGTATGGGCTCTCGTGTATGACAGGAAACGGCACACGGGGGTTGTGAAAGTCATGTTGGGAGCAAGGCCACGGCCATCACTCACAAGTCACTGCTGTCATGTCCACAGGGTGAGGACTTGTATTTCTGATACACCACAGACCACCCTGGCTTGATCATCTGGTCTTGTTCTCTCTGAGTACCAGGTCTCCAGCAGAGAGTCCTTCTCTATCTTGAAAAGTTTAGACTTTTAAAACCTAGTCATCCTTTGTACCCTTTTGTAGGATTTCAGAAAAGGTGACTGAGTAGAAGAAAAAAGAGGAAAAGCTGACTTACACAAGGTCAGGGCCAAGCACGGTAGATCTGCAGCAGCTTCTCCAAGTCCTGCAGAGAATCAGGACTGCTGTGCACAGAGAGAGGCCTGGGCAGGGGCAGGGACAGGGGAGGAATGGACCATGCAAGAGATCTTCAGCATCGCTGGGTAGGGTGTGCATTACATACCACAGCTTTGGGGCTGGAACATGTGAACTTGGGCAAGTCGTGGCCTTCGGATGGGAGTAACTCAGGGAGGCTGGTCTGACCCTCCTTTAGTGACCCTTCCCCTATTGAAAGATGGCATGTTGGGGAATATTTTGACTTGCCTTGAGTTGTGATGCATTGTCTCACCTTGGCCCTCCTCTCTTACAGATGCCTTTGTGAACAGCCAGGAATGGACGCTCAGTCGCTCGGTGCCAGAACTCAAAGTGGTGAGTGGCCCCTCTGGCCTGTTGTGGGGAGGAGGCTACTATTGGCACGGTGTGCATGTGCAGGCTTACCCATACTACATTCTGTTTCCTGTGCCCTGGGGTGTGTGACTAGGAAAAGCCATCCCTGGTAATTGGGAACTAGAGCCCCAAGTGTGCCTGGAAAGTTCCCAGCATCTGCCCAGCACATGGTATCTGTGTAGCACCAGGGCCTTTACCCATCCCTTCATCCTCTGTGCTCCCTACCCCCCACCCCTGTATACATACTCTACCGTGGACTTACCTGTCCTTTGGTGGGTGTCATGACACCTTCTATAATGAGCCTAATTCTCAAGTAATGGCTGTTTACGCCATTATGAAGCCTTGGTATAAATGAAGGATTTTGCTTTTATTATAAGCAACTTCCAGCAGAATTAAAGCTTGGAAGTGGTCTGTGCAGCTGCCTCTTGGAGCCACCACTGCACACCTGCTGCCTTAGCATGGAAGAAAGGAACAAGCCTAAGTTTAAAAAGATTGTGTGATTTGTGGTGAGATCAGGGTTATTTGATCATGCATGCTTGTGTATACACACACAGGCTTCCCAGTGCTGGGTTCTGACTGTAAAAGGCAGGTAGACAAGTTCCCGTCAGTCACTAAGCTGCAGATGGTGTGGGACCCTGGTGCGGGCCGCCTATGTGCTGTGCCTCCTTCCGTTGATTAATTTTTCTTCTGTCATCTCCCTAGTGACCCACCTGAACCTCCAGCCATGCCTCCCTCCCCCACCTTCCACTGCCTCATGGAGGCTGTGAGGGTGGGATCAGCCTTTGCATGTCTCACACCTGAGATGAAATGTAACCTCGGAGAGCTTAGAGTTTTGAGGGGGGTATCGATGGCTTTCTTCAGCAGGCAAAACACCCGATTTTGATGTGAGACTGGCAAGAGGGGCCTGAGGCAGGAGAGCTGTGGCCCCTGTGCTGTCCTTTGCTGCCAGTCCTCGTTGCTGGGTGTCACCCTGGGGTTCCTCTCCTTCCTGCTTCTGTTGGCTCCTTCCTCTAGAATACTGGTGTGTCTCTGCAGTGCCCTCCAGTGCGGTTTGTGGAAGACAGTGTCCCCACCACAGACCTCTGGAAGCCTGGGGCTCTGCAAGACTAGCCCTGAAATAGCTGGTGTCCGTCTTCTGTGTGTTTCATAACCACTGTACCCTGTGTAGTATTAGAACATTCTGGAAATACCTTTTGAGTGAATGACGTAAGGGTGGCAATGCCATTACCAGGAACTTCTTTTGTAAATATTTTATTTTTTAATTTTTATTTTGTGTACGAGTATATTGCTTACATGTATGTAAGTGCATTTGTGTGGTGCAGTGCCTGCGGAGGTCAGAAGAGGCTGTTGGATCCCCTGGAACTGGAGTTAGGACAGTTGTTAGCTGCCATGTGGGTGGTGGGAATCGAGCCCTGGTCCTCTGAAAGAGCAGCCAGTGCTCTTAACCACGGAGCCACCCTTCCAGCGCCACCAGGAAAGACAACCCAGGTGCCAGTCCCCCTGGACTTTGCAGTCAGTGCCAGACAACTGGTACTGGGTGTTTTCCACAAAGATATTTGCATGGCGTGGACTGTTCATGCAGCTGTGGCTTTTAGTCCCTATGACTGCACCAAGAGGCAGATGTCTTGGTCTTGCTCTGTGTCACAGGCAAGGTTTGGGGCATGAAGATATTGCCTGGGAGCCATGCACAGTAGGGTGGATCTGGGATTCCAAGTCCTCCAGCACTGCCTTGGAGAACTTTCTACGTATCTGTCCTGACTGCTGCCCTAGCCTCTGGTCCTATGTGGCCATTTAAGTTGAAAGAGCAGCATTGGGGCACTCACCCTCTTGGCTTACACATGGCTGGGGACCCTCAGGTATCAGCTGTCTGCCTGAGACCCTGCCTGGCAGTTAAAGGCAGCTTCTGACAGGGCCTGTGTGTTTTTGTTTTTCCTTTTTTGTTTTGGCTTTTTAGGTAGTGTCATATTTCTGTTGTCTTGGCTGACATGGAACTCACTATGTAGCCCAGGCTGGCCTTGAACTCATGGTCTTCCTGCCTCAGCCTCCCAAATAACATGATTGTAAACCACCATACCTGGTCTGGCCCATATGTTCTCACCAGCCTATTCTTACCAGAAACGTGTTTTCTGGTATTTCAAAAGCATGTGGGTTTCTGGAGTGAACAACTGGGTTCTAGCAGGTGATGCACCAGGAGACAATGTGGGTCCACCGCAGGTGATGGCACCAGGAGACAGCGTGGGTCCACCGCAGGTGATGGCACCAGGAGACAGCGTGGGTCCACCAGATGGGACTCTTAAGTCAGGCTTGAGCTCACCGCCAAGGTTGCTGTCTTATAAAATCAAGGACTCATCTGGACGCCGCTGTGGTTCCGGGAGGGTCCCAGTGCCTGAGCTATATGAGAACCAGCAGAAGCCAGCAGGGCTGCCAGCTCTGCTGTTGTGGGCGCCCCCTTGTGGTGGCATCAGCAGGTGCCTTGCCCTCCAGGGCTCCTCAGCAGATGGTTGTGTGGCAGGGATGCTGGGTCTGAAGAAGCACCCCTTGTTCTGTAGAGCAGCACCCCTCCCAGTGTCCACAGGGTTGCTATTGTCTCTGCCTTCCTACAGCACCCGACAGGTGGCCTTTTAGGTCATTGCCCGGGGACCCCACTCCCACCCCCGCTTCACAAGTGCAGCTATGAGATGACATCATGTCGAGCCTCCAATGGACCCTTTATGGGATATTCTGTAGTGAGTCCTTTGGAATCCAGCAGAGCGTTCAGTTTGCTCCTTTTGTGACTGGTAGGGCCGTGCCTGGGGCCCTCGGAAGTGCCCTGGCTGCTTTGCACACTGAGGCTCCGTGCCAGGCAGCTCAGGCTCTGTGCCTCCGACCGGGTGGGAGCAGTAGACAGACCTCAACTGCAGGCCTGCGGAGGTGCCTCTGGTATTTCCCTTGTGCTCTGGTTGGGAGTTTTAGTTTAAAAGCCTCCATTTCCTGTGTGACAAAGCCACGTTTAGTGGGTGAGCGGGTCACAGGCGCTGGAGAAATGCATTTAGAAAGGCACACTGCTCTGCTTCCTCCCCCGGTACTGTGCCGCCTGGAGCACAGGCGAGGCACTGTGACACACTCCTGCCCGGCATACCCAGTTCTGCCATTGTCAGGGCACCTCCTCCTGCCCTTTTGGCCCATGCTGTTATTTCCTCCCGGGCGGCATTCAGCAGTGGTTGCTGTATCCCAGTAAGGCTCTACATCCTAATAAGCTCTGGTTTCATTTCCTCCTTGTAGTCAGCTAGTAGTTTCCACCAGTGTTTTAAATTAAAATGGTGCCTTTCACAGTCTGAGTTGGATGCTAAGGCCAAGCAGAACCCCTTCTCCCAGCCCAGGGTGTGTGGCGGCTCTTCCTCTCGGGTGCACCCTATCTTTGCCCATCATTGTAGGAAAGAGTGGTGGGTGCCACCATGCGGAGTTGGACAGCGCTGGATGCTGGAGCGTTTTCTTTCTTCAGGAAGAGAAAGTAATCTTAATTAAAAATTTCATTTCTGTGCCATACTGTTTTGGATTTTCTCAGCTTGAAACTGACAAACAGAAGTACCCTTGAGCAAAAGAATAATTAATAGACACTCTCCGATCATGGAGGCACAAGGTAAAAGGCAGACATAGGTTGGCAGTGGATGGAGACAGTTTGTGCAGGATCGTCTATGTGCTCTGGCGCAGAGCCCAGCTGTTGGCAGTTGAGAGAACTCACTGACACTCGCCGGCATCAGTAATTCACTCCATTCACACCCTGGCTCCTGGGACTGTGCCATCTTCCCTGGGCAGAGAGGAAGCTGAGGAAGTCACAGTCCCTGCTCTTCGGGAACTGGCTGTGTTGAAGGGAGTCAGACCCACACCCAGAGCTTTGCTAAACAGTGTGTTGAGCTACAGTTCAGCAGCAGGAGCCGAGGGCACCGTGCTGGCCCCAGCCAAAGCTGTGGCACTAGGAAAGCACCCTGGTCTACCTGGACTGCTGTGATGAAATGCCATGGCTTATTAACAACAGAACCTTCATTTCCTGGCTTTGGAAGTCAAAGAAGCTGGCAGATTCAGGGTGTGGTGAGGATTTGGGAGTTGCTCCGCTCTCCAGCTCATGGGTGGCATGTTCTTTCTGTGGCTTGCCTGTCTCTCCCTCTTCTTCCTCACAGGCCGGGCCATTCTCAAATGGACACCAATCCATATACATACGATCACGTTCCTGTAACCTCCCACCTCCTAGAGACTCCATCTCCTCACCTTGGGGCTTGGGGTACATAAGCATTCAGAGCGTAGTGAAAGCTTCTCAGAGGTTGTGATGTCTGAACTGCCTGCTGGCCCCCAAGCAAGAGTAGGAGTTGGGGGTGTAATCCATCAACGTGGCAAGTTCTGGGTGCTAGGAGACAGCAAGGCCTGTCAAAATGAGGATGGTATCTAATGCACAGGAGGCAAAGCCAGGAGTGGGGAGCGAGGGTGAAGGGCTGTGAACATGGCGAGAGAGCGAGGACAGCCTGAGGGTGTGGAGACCCGCACCATTGCAGCTTCATGGAAGAACACGGGATGGATCCATGGCCACTGAGAAGTCATGACACACCCACCCGCAAACCCTTTTGGATTCTGCCTTAGTCTCCACAGCCTGTGCCAGCTTGTTTTCTTACGTGTTTGTTCTAGGTGTTGGCCTCGCTTTGTTCAGACAGCCTCCTACCTCCGTGGTGACTTGCCAGTGGAAGATGGAGGGGGACTGATAGGTTGAGCCGTCTGTGCTGGCACCGCATAGGTGCTCATAAGGAATCCTGTGGTCCCCTCTGGTGGGCCTGGGTAGGAACGCCTGGAGTCAAGGTAGCTGGACTTGGGGTTATGCAGTCAGTGATGATGGGTAGGAAGCAGCCTGTGGGTGTCTGAAGGAGAGTCAGCTGGTGGTGTAGCGAAGGACCCCGGGACCTGCATGTCCAGGCTGTGGCAGATGGAAAGCTGGTAGTGACCTCATGGACAGCTTCCCTGAAGCGGGAGGCTCCGTGCTGGAGATGGTTTGGTGGAAGAAGAGAAGAGCAGGCTGAGCCAGGAGGGCCTGCCTGGCTGTGGCATGGGAGGGGGGTGAAAGACGGTGTTCTGATGCTGCAGGAAACAGTGAGGACTTCGGGGCAGGCAAAAACCGGAATGCTGGAGGTTGCTAACTAGAGCACCTCCACTGGGGGACAGGGCAGGGCTCCCAGGGCGGGCCATGTGCCCACTCACCTGTGCTCAGGTATCTCTGACTTGCTTCCCTGGTTGCTGCTCAGCAGGGTGCTCACACCACCCTGGCCCTCCAGTGCCGTTTTCTACCACCCTGAACACCTTTGCTGTCTGCCACAGCTTGACTTTTGCCCCTTTTGTTTTGGTGTGTATTCCTGAGGGGCAGACGGCAGGCTTGGTAACTCCTCTCTGGGCCCTGCCTTCCTTCTCTCATCCCCGGGCCCCCCCCCCCCCCCCCCCCCCCCCCCCCCCCCCTCCCTCACCAGCGCCAGGTGAACCTTCCCTCCTCCCCAGCCCAGTAGCATCCAAAGGCTTCAAGGCGCAATTCCTCCCAGCTCTGGTGTGCTCAACCTCTACTAATGCTAATAGAGGACATTTTTATTCTGACTTTGACACATTTTTATTCTGCCCCCCCCCCCCCCCCGCAACCTTGCACGCTCTCTTCTTCTGGCCCTGTAGCCATCTTTCCAAGTTCATCAGGATGGAAGGCACCAGATTGTCCGGTCTGAGTTACTCTGTCCTGCATTCGTCTCATCGAGCCCTTCGCCCTTGATATAGGGAGGCACGCAGTCACTGGACGGCCAACTCAGTATCATGAGCTGGACAAAAGCAGCGCTTGAGCTCCCTGGCAGAATGCAGGCGCACTGGTGTCCCGACAGCACCCAGGATATGGGCAGCGGATGCAGGCTTTACTCTGTCTCTGGCAGAGATAGATTCCAAAGCTCGTTTTTGGACACCTGTCCATCCTTGGAGGGGTGATGACAGTTGTGTTTGGGGTTGCTACGTATTTTAACAACTCTGTGCAAAAAGCCAAACAGAGTAATTTGATCACCCTAACTGCTGTCTGTTTCTTTGCCACAGGGAATCGTGGGTAACTTGGCCAGTGGCAAGTCTGCGCTGGTGCACCGGTACCTGACAGGCACGTATGTGCAAGAGGAGTCTCCAGAAGGTACGGTGTTCGGTGTTCGGAGGGCTTCGTTATGAGCCTAGAGTTCAGGGTTGAAATCCCTTCTTTAGCCCGTGCTGAGTCATTGCTTTGATGAGAACGTAATGAAATATACCAAGCTTACTGTTGTCCTTTTGTAGACTTTTTAGTAATTACACTCACTCTAGCATTTGGAGCAATAACTGGAAATCCTGCAGAGGGCATTTCCCACCTAATGGTCTGTCCCTTCCAACGTCAGCCCAGTGCTGTTCTTTTGAGGATCAGTTGGACAGCTCTGATCTGGACACTGAGTTTGTAATGCCGCTTAATTCTAGACACCACCTTTTCTAGGTACAGTTCCAGATCACCACCACTACATGTTTGAGTACATTTCCCCTTTATATTGTATTATAAACGTTTAATAATCATTTTGCATGTGAGTTAGGCATTTCTTTTGTCATTAGACATTGCTTCTTCTGTTGACATACCCGTGTTACTGTTCATGGTTTTGTTTTGTTTTTTTTTAACTTTAAACAAGATGGCAGTGGTGGCAGGAAGCCCATAGGTCCCCTGCTTAAGGGGTGGTTCATAAGCAGTTTCCTAGATTATGTTCTCTCCCCATGTAACCTTCTGCAGTCCAACTCGGAGACACTGAATTTATGGTTCCTTCTTTCTCTTACTGGCTGTCCCATTCTTTGCAGATATGGACGCAGGTAACTATACGTTCCTCGTGGTAGTGCTTGTCTTGTTATGGAGCCAGGAGAGGCACAACTGTACCGTAGCGTTCCTTCCCCCGTGCTGTGTCTCATCCTATTTTGTTTCATTTCACCTTTTTTTTAAGTTCAGCATTTCATCCCATTTTGTCCCTTAGCTGTCTTCTGAGTGGTAGTTGTAAGTAGCTTCACGTGTCCCCTGTAACACATGTTCTAGCCCTTTAACTCTTGTCCTGGAACCATCCAAAAAGAACAGAATTCCGAGGGGCTTGCTTGGGGCTCTGCCACGATTCTGCAGAATTTTGCAACCGTTTTGGAGACCTCAGACACCCGGGAAGGCCCGATTTTTAAAAAATTCTCCCTATTGAATGGTAGTTTGGGGAAGATGAGCAGTTCAGAGCAAAGACTTGTGTGGGGGAGCAAAGGAGCAAAGGCTGAGGGTGAGGACAGACCCAGGGAGTGTTTCCCCGAGACCCTTCCAGGCTGTGCAAGTGTTCTTCTCTGTGTCTGAATGTGAACAGTGGCCACCACTAGCATCATTGATGACCCAGAAGGTCTTGGAGAGCTTCCATCCTGGGGTTCCGTGTCTGGGGGTTCATGATGGTAGAGATTGATGAAACCAAATACCAAGGGGCTCTAGCTAAACCGACTGTGGGGTACACGCCTTTTGCAGGGACTCTGCCTTGGTTGCCTTCCAACTCCCAGGTTTTGGTCTAGGGCCCGTTGCTCTTGCTCTAGGGCTCTGATGTCTAGGTGGGGAGGGTGGGTCATGCTGAAGGTCCTGGTTCTAGAGGAAGAGCAGGACCACACCTGTATTTGGTCATTTTTATTATGGCATCTGTTGCTTTCCTGTTGGGTGTTAACTCTGTCCCAACACATCTGTGTCAGATTGGTTTCTTTGCATTGCTGAATGGGCCTGTCTCTTTCTACTAACACAGAGGCTGTGCTCTTGAATGTTTGTACACTGAAGTAAAAACCTTACCCAGAGACATAACCTCACTGACTGCCAGTCTCCGTGTTCCACCTGCAGAATAGAGGGAGCTCATCCCTCTGGGAGACTGCGGCTGAGGACTCCTGGACCTGGGAAATAGCATCTGAAGCCTCACACTCTCAGGAGCTCACCCTGCCCACTTGTCCTCTTGCTTGTAGAGACTCTGAAGAATTCCATGTGGTGGGGGATGCTGCAGGATTCTTGGGCCCCCCGTATCCCCTGTTTGCAAACACCTGAGGGCCCCCGATGCCCCTTAGCCCTGGCCAAGCTGTTTCTTTGGAACTGCCCACGTATTCCTGTATGGAGCCCAGCAGGTGGCAGCTGCTGTCTCTGTGCTTCTTAAGGAGATGGGGACTGACTTCCAGTCCTGTCCCTGTGACCCATGAGCCCCCATGGGGCATGATGAGCCTTCCTTTCCTGGCCTGCTGCCTGGCTGGCATGTGATTCTGCCTTGGGCTCAGGGACTCACAGCTGGGAAGCAGTTTCAGTCTTTTTCCTAATATAACCAGTTACCTGTGCTGTGCTGACTTCGATTGAGCAGCTCTGTAGAGTGTTGTGGGCTTGGAATCTAGTTTACCTGTCGTCATCTGGGTCAATGGGGGAGCTCTGGTGCTGGGGTGGGGGGTGTCTCTGCACGTGTGTGAGAGGTAGTCAGAGACGACTGTAGCTCAGTCTCTCCTGCGATTCATTAATTCGCACAGACGGAAGGGCACGGCTGACGGGAGGAAGGTGTGACTGTGCCTGGCTGAGGCATTGGATTTGGAGTGAGCTATGAGACCTCCCGTTCTTTGTGTTACCATTACCTTCTGATTTACCCTCTGTGATAGCTCAGTTTCCATTACTACAACAAAAGTCCCTGAGGCTGGGTGCTTCAGTTAGAAAGAAAACTGGTTTATTTAGCTCACAGTTTTGGAGGTTGAAAATCCAAGATTGGGCAGCTCAGTGTTTGACTTTGTTGAGTGTGTCATGGCCAGTGGCCCACATCACAGCAGAATGTGTGTGGGAGGACCCACATGGTGAGACAGGAGTCTGGAGAGTGGGGTGGAGCCTATCTTGTTCTCTCTGTTGGGAATGAACCAAGATCGTGTGAGATTGATTCCTTCTGAGACAGCGCCCCCTGAGCATAGTTACCCTGAACCGTAACCACCTCCTAAGGGACTCATCACCTCCCACGATGCCCCTCCAGACTTCCCACACTTGAATGTCTAAGCCACAGGACCCCTCTGCTCAGGACTGTTGGAGCCGTAGCTGGGCAGGCACTCTGAACACACTGTCTGGCATTCCCCTACTCTCTCTCCTACGTGGCTGCACTGGGTCGGGCCTCTGGCTTAACTGATATCTTCGTGGGTAGCCTTTGTGATTCTGACTCCCATCTCTGAAGTTTGGGTTGTTGGGAAGGATAATGTGCTGAGGACCTTCAAAAGAACTCCATCCCTTCAGAGAGCAGCTGTCTCTTGGTGGACTGGCTCTGGTGTGGTTGCCCTGGGGTGCATCCTCCCAGCTCCACCCTACAGGGCAACATGCTGTCTTTTATTGAGGGATACCTTTTTGGCTGGTATTTTATTCTAGGAGAGAAGAGGGCTGACTCAAAAGCCTTAGAGGTGCAGTTCAGATGAGGGAATTCCTCTTTTAATTAGCAACTTAGGGCAAAAATGTTTCTCTCAGTAGGATCTGATTTCAGGACATGAGCTCAGAGTGCTGCTCTCATGTGGGCGGCTTTCCTTTATGTGTATGTGTATGAGAGTGAACGTAAATGTGTTTGTAATGTATGAAAGTGCACCAGAATCCTAGGGCCTAGGCTGTAACCACATACCTCAGACTGAGTAGATTACAGCTGAAGTTGACTTTTCCACAGTTCGTTCCATAGACCAGAAGTCTAAAGCCAAGGTCCTAGAATGGTTGGTTCCTTTAGGACATGGGTGGGATGGTTCTGTGGTGGTGGTGGTGGTGGTGGTCATGGTCATAAAAGGCGATGATGGTTGTGATGGTGGTGGTAGTGGTGGGTGATGGTTACGATAATGGTGGTAGGATCTGCCCCCAGATCCCTCCCAGCTTCTGGTAGATCCAACAACCCTAAGCATCTAAGGCCTCTGTTGTCACCTTGCATTTCCTTCTTCCCGTGAGAACACCCGTGGTTTGATTTACAGTCCAGCCTGCTGTAATATGGCCTCATCTAGACTCACTTCATTTGCAAAGACTGTTTCCACATAAGATCATATCTAGTACCCCGAGTGGGGTTTTGCTGCTGATGTTATGTTACTTGGTTTTTGAGGCTCACTATATAGTCCAAACTAGTTTTGAACTATTTCTGTCCTCTGCCTCAGCCTCCTGAGCACTGAAGTTGCAGATAGGAGCCATCACACCTGGCTTAGGAGTGATGATGTGAATGAACTTGGAGACCCGGCTCTACCCCAGCAGCATGTCTACTATGTGTGTATGATGTTTAAGCAAGCACCGTACCCAGAGCCATTGAGGAAGGCCTGCCTCATCTGTTCTGGATGTGGACTGCTGCTGGCAGTGGCATCCCACAGGACTGGGACCTGCCTGTGTGTGACCTTCATGCCTCCAAGGGAAATTTCACAGCTCCCTTTCCAGAAACAGACTCAATCTTGCCTTTGCCACCAGGGCCCTATTAATAGCTGCTAATTAGAGTTGTGAACAATATTTTGGCTGTGTAATTTCGGTTCTCCCTAATGTGTTAGGTGCTTAACATTCACTGTGTACCCTGCCTTCCCTCACATTGAACCCACATGGTCCATGTGATTTTTAACTCTTTCCTACAAAGATGATGAAGAGAAACAGCTTGTGAACAGCATGTGGGACGTGCTGGGAACCATGGCTCTGCCTGAAACACTTGTCCTTGTGTCCTCTAGGGATGTCAGACCATCATCTCCTGAGCGTCTTTCCCTGAGTCAGTCTTGTTCCTCCATGCCTGTGGGTTGTGGCCGTGGGCTGTGTGGAAGGACTCGCCACTGCAGAAGCTCTAAGCCAGCAGTGGCCTTGATGGGGTGGCATGTCTGCTGCGGGGAAAGCTTCCCCATCAGATGGGCGGAGTGGAAGGCTTTAAGGTTGGAGGCAGCAAATGGAGAATTACCATGTTCTGCCTTCCTGTAGTGAGCCTTGATGGCTCCGAGCTAACACTTCTGAGTACTGTAGCCTACTGGTAGGTCAGGGTTAAAATTGTGGGATAGAGCTGTGTTGCCCATGAGCCATTTGCTTTTTAACCCAGATCTACAATAAACCCACATCCAGGTACATAATTGGTAAGTGGAGGCTGGCACTCACCTGCATCAGTGCTTAGCCTTGGCCTAAGGAGGAAGTCTAGGCCAGTGGGCTCACTGAGAGTTGCTGTCAGCTCTTGAGCCATAGGAAGCTTGTGGAGAAGGTCTGCAGTCAGGTGTGGCAGGGCACACATGGTCCAGCCCTTCTCATCTTCATGGCCATACATCCGAGGGACCCCAGCCCTTCCTACCTTCATGGCCATACATCCGAGGGACCCCAGCCCTTCCTACCTTCATGGCCATACATCCGAGGGACCCCAGCCCTTCCTACCTTCATGGCCATACATCCGAGGGACCCCAGCCCTTCCTACCTTCATGGCCATACATCCGAGGGACTCCTCACCTCTGCCGCTGCCTCTTTCGTTTGTTGGCTCTTAACCAGTTCAGATTTGGAGGCAAAAAGCTTCGAGGCTGTAGCTGCCCTGGGTCTGTCTAGGCTAACACCCAGTGGGTGCCTGGCTGGAAACCTGGTGATGGGGACATGCCCAGAAACTGCTGGTCTGCCCCACTGCTCCGCCCTGTCTCCTCCACCCACTCCTGACTGTATCGCAGCTCCTACACACAGTGCTCACGTACACAGTGCCCTCAACCACACATGGGCAACAGCCTGGAGATCCCCACAGTCACCCCCCACCAAAAGTGGAAAACAGCAGCTAATCAGAAGTGTGGCCCTGGGCCATGTATCTTGTCACAGAGTAAGCTAAGAGAGCTGAACGAATGTGGGTAGA